CCATTGCTTAATACGACTAATCTAAATATTCAATCTTTGCCATACTTTTTTACCTGTTGTAATGTCAGGATGTTGATCTATAGATAATTCTAAGGTCCTTATTGCCTCGTTTATCGGAATATTATTGCAAATATACACATCGAAACTTACCAGCAAATCTCCTCCTCATACCGTCTGATTATCAACTAATGTTATAAAGCAACAAGAGTTCCTTATTGAAAGCTTCCAAGTTTCGGATATTTGCTTTTACTGAGTACATATAAATTGTGATGTTTTATGCATCACACTATCTTTAGTATTTAGAATAATTTTGAGTCGAGTACCTTGCTTATGAATTTTGGGCAGACCATGCGCGTTTGGATGTCTAGCATCTCGCTGGAAAAGTGTGTTTCTTTTCCACTTTTTCAGTTCTTCACCATTTACACATTGTTACAGAGAACCCCTAAGTCTGGCCTTAAGGCCTTCTGTCGGGTCCCTAATTATAGTTTAATATGTTGTGTCATCGTCTAATGCATCTAAACTTTTCTCTACATAATGTGTCCCATCCATAATTCCTACTACTCCTCATTGTTTGCCCTCAATACTAGTTGGCCATTAACATCAAGCTTCCCTATAATAGTACTAACTGTCCTATTCTTTCATAGTGCTTCTATATGACCATCAATTGAAGGGACAACTTATAATTCAATGTCACTCTTAGTATCCTTTTGGAAATTATCTGTTAAACCTATCATTTCTACCGAAAATTCTACTTTGAAGTCCTTAACATTTGGAAAGGCAAAATGTAAGCCGTTTGATAGGGCCTCCTCAGTAGAAATGTCCGATGAAGTTTTGCTCAGATTTACCACTTTTTGACAACGGCTTTCCTTTTATTTCATTAGTAATGGATCGTTTCCCTGAGCTAATTCATACCCAAATTTATCACTTTCTTATCATTTGTCCTTTTAATCTTTCGAAAAACTTTCATGCAACTTATCCGCTATTCTCTAGAGCTTGAGGAGGTCTTCCAAATTAAGTACCTTGGACAAAATTGGCCAACGTCGAGTCTTAGTTCTAATTAATGAGGGCAGCTTTGCAATGCTTTACATAAGTCTAATATCAACCACACTATTAGCTATATCTAAGAGATCAGTCTTAATCTTACAATGTAAATTAGGTCTTTAAATAACACAAAATCTAGGTATAATTCTACGGAAGGAGGAAACTTTAAAAAACAGATGTGATTGACTTGCCTGGCCAAAATTCTCTTGTTTATTGTATATAATGACGAATTCCGAAATGAATGAAAACCTTAGGTATTTCGAATATATGAAAAAAATGGGTCTAGAAGAATTCTTCGATGGTATATTACGTCTTTCCATTTCGAAGTAAGAGTTGGTTAAAAGGAATTCGTGATTTGGTCTCCCCGAAAACCGAAGGAGGATTGCCGCGTAGGAAATACTTTTGTACCGTACAAAGAAATCCTCGACTCAACTACCTGAGAATCTGATGAATAGATTTTTGTTCTATTTTGTAAAGTATGTATTCTTGCTCTAATAATATCTGTCAGAGTACACACGAAGGCTTATCACAGTTTCATCGGGGTCACAGGACGGTGAGCCGAGGGCTTCTATGCACAATACCACAGTCTTCCTTACGTGGCAATCCTCCATTAGTTTCCGGTGATACCACATCACGAATTCCTTTTAACCAACTTTTCCTTTAAAATGGAAAGTCGTCATAACATATCACAAAGGCTTCCTTCTAAACTCAGTTTTTCATCAATTTTCTTGTAAGTTTGATGGATCTGACAACTGAATGATGCTGAATTAGCGTATTGGATCCTTCCAAGCTGATGGAGAAGCCTGATATTCTGCTCTTTATTAGGATGTAGTTGATGCATCATTACATATGAAGCCTCATAATGGCTTAAAGATTTCTGCCTTCTTAAAAGCATGATTTTCAATATTGGAGATTTAAAGCGACAAATAATGATAAGTTTTCAATAGATTATCCGAACCACTCTTGTCTCTAAATGACTTTGAGTTTGTGAATGGGGAGTATAAAACTACTTTCTTGGACAGTCTTCTCTACGGCCTAGCCATACTAACCCAATGAGCTCCAACATACTAGTGTAGATCATCACTCTTTACGAGCTACCTGAATATACGAAACCTTTGCAAAGACTAAGGCTTCTTGTAAAAAGGTTTGACTGACAAATAAATAAACGTAAATTAGTTATCATGTCTCCTTGCGCATAGTCAAAAAATATCACAGTACCACTAAGGAAGATAAAGTTATCACCAGACTTACTTTGGGGGATTAGGTGAATCCTGCATCATGCCCAGTTATTGGCCTCTCAACCAGTCTTGCACAAAGGTAACACTAGTATCACTTGTCAAATCATTGTAAAGCCATTTTATTATGAGACTAAATTTTCCTTCCACCTGAGACTCGACTTTCACGCCCTGCCGAATTGATTGTCGTATGGACAACTCATGATAGAGAACTAGGAGCGCAAAGTGCAATGTATTCCGTAAAAACCTAAAGGTTATAATTTGACCTTAAGGCGAGCCTTATGTTTCCATGTGAAGCAAGATTGTTGGCTCGACAAAGTCTAATCATCTTTACTCTGTCATGGTAACGTTATAAAGTCTTATATGCGTATCAGAAACGATTAGGATATTCACATAAATCTTCATCATTTAGGGCATTTCACCATAATTATTTTTCTTTCTCCAGGCAACTTTTATAGTCTTGTACCGCTTATATTGTATTGACAAGCTTTTTAAGCTATGGAATTTAAAACTCTTCTGTATCGTTATTAGTACTAATTTGTAGGCATCATTATTTGCCAGCCCTTTGATCCACTGTATGTGGATTATGTTACACGAAAATTCGATTTATTTCTAATTATAACTGCGGATATTACCACCTTTAAAGCTAATATCCGGAATTCTCTTTTTCATTTTAGCAAATTACCTAATTCGCAAAATAATAAACATTTGTATTGAAAATCTCCAAGTCTACATCTTTTAGCTTAACCAAAGAAATCAAGCTTCCCCATCCATTTATTCAATCCTGACAAAATATGTATATACTTATCATCTTAACATTATTAGATAGACGGCGTAATTTTCTAATTCACATTCACACACATACACATACACACGCAAACATTCATAACCCATCACTTATTATAACTTTAATTATCGCGAAAAACCACTTTTAAGATATCTGAATCGGTCAGTAGCATTCGCAGTTCTGCATCTCGACGCCGCGCAGATCGACTGATTCGTGAGGCCGAACGTTTGTCCGTCATTGCTGCCTACCCTGCGACAGTACCGAACATTGGCAGACCAACCAGACCGGGATACTCCCGCAATCGAGGGGCCACCTTTAGAGACCCTCTGTCCCAACCATCACCAAATATGTCTAGCTCGCGCTTCTGGCAGGCAAATCCGAAGCCAACGCAGAGGCAGACAAAAGTGCACCAACTCCCGGCTCGAATCAAGGTTGCTCCTCAGGCCAACGGGCAAGTGTAAAGTATTTTGCCTTTTATCCTTCCTATGGGCAACTGGTTTTACTTCATTTTCGTCGCTTAAACATTCTCTCTAAACATTGATTCACCTAAACAACTTGCTCAGTTAACAGGATTTTGAATATATCAAATAAAAAGTATGAAGACCAAGATGGTGTGGTCTTTTTTATGGTCGCAGTCTCCTTCCATAGTATAGAAGTTG